GAGTGTGTCAAGTGATGCATTTGAAAACGACTCCGATATGGATTTAGTTCAAAACGATGATTCTGAATTTCAAGTTAAAACCTCTAAAAAAAATGAGAAATCATCCAAGTTAAAACGTGCGTTACTTCTTTCGTCAAGCTCCACCTCACCTAAATCGTCAAAAAAAAAAACAACAGATCCAGTTTGTTGCAGAAAATAGGTTTGCTCCTATCTCACCTGCTGCTACAGCTTCTGAACTTGCTTTAAACCAATCAGCTCCAACTCAACCAACATCATACAATATTGAAACTGATGATGTCCAACCAATCCCAGCACCTCCACCTATTTTTGTCAGCAATATTGACAATTTTATCAAGCTGCGTACGGACCTTATTGATCTGATTGGCACTAATAATTTCTCATTTAAGTCAACCTCGAAAAATCTAAAAATTGAAACTAAAGATTCTGATGCATACCGAAAGGTCATCAGACATCTCAAAGAAAAGCAAATCGAACATCACACGTATCAGGCTCGTGAAGATAGAGCTTTCCGAATCGTAGTACGTAACCTCCACCCATCTACACCAACTTCTGAGGTCGGAATAGCCATTACTGAAATCGGCTACTCAGTTCGCAACGTCAGTAACGTTTTACATAAGACCTCTAGACAACCATTACCATTGTTTTTTGTTGATCTCGATCCTGCTGAAATCAACAAGGATATTTTTCACTTGAAAAATCTACTTCATACCAAAATATCAGTTGAAGAACCTCATAAACGTCGCGAGCTTATCCAATGTACAAATTGCCAAGACTACGGCCACTCAAAAACCTACTGCGCCTACCCACCAAGATGTGTCCGTTGCGCAGGACAGCACTTAACCGCCAATTGCACCCAGTCCAAAGACCAGCCACCAACTTGCACCTTATGCGGAGTCAACCACACCGCCAGTTACCGTGGATGCAGCGCACACAAAAATCTCCAGCGTTTACATCGAAATTCAAGTCTGTTCTTTAAAAATTCTAAAACTAAAATAAACAATGTAATTAATACCAACAATGTAAGCGTGGGTCAGGACCCCAGTGTGGACACTCCCCAGACTACACCAATTACACAAGATTTAAATGCATGCCCCCCTCTTCCCAAAAAACCCCCTCCCGAAACACACGCAAAAAAAAAGTACTCACAACGTGAAACACAAAATCCCACCCAAGAAAATAACATAGAAAAACTAATGCCCTCATTTTTAACCGAAATGAAATTACTAATTAACCCGCTAATCCAATTGCTCACCACAGTAATCAATAAATTAATTTCAAATAATGAATACTAATCCCCCCAACACCAAGTCTTTAAAAATTATACTATGGAATGCAAATGGTTTAAAACAAAACGAACCAGAGTTACTTCACCTTTTAATCCAAAGTAAAATTGACATCGCACTAATTACGGAAACCCACTACACTTCCAGTACTAATCACTTTTTCCCTGGGTTCCAAGTATACAAAGCCAACCACCCCGACGGAACCGCCCACGTGGGATCCGCTATTTTAGTCTCAAACCAAATCCAACACTACCCACTCCAAAGCCTCCAACTACCATCAATTCAAGCAACGAATATCCAAATCGTACTAAATCATATTCCAACCACACTATCCTCAGTTTACTGTCCTCCTCTACCGGCAATAACGCCTCCTCAAATCAAAAAATTTCTAAAGTCACTTGGGCGCTCGTTTATCGCTGGTGGCGATTTCAACGCTAAGAACACATAATGGGGTAGCAGATTGACAAACTCTAGAGGGAGATTATTTCTTGACAACATTCAAAAACTAGGCTGCTCTTTTATATCTCCAAACGGCCCAACCTACTGGCCTACTCACACAAATCACCAGCCTGACATTCTTGACTTCTTTCTCACCTCAATTCCAAAACATATAAGACATAAAATTCAAAATAGTTGTGAAATTTCATCAGACCATACCCCGGTCATTCTTGAAATAAATGGTTCAACAACCTGCAAACCTTCCCGATCCACCCTCGCAAATGGTCCTGTCAATTGGGAAAAATTCTCCACCATCTTAGAAAATAACACAAACTTAAAAATCTCTCTAAAAACCAGCAGTGAAATTGAAATAGCGTCCCAAGACTTTGTCAACTCAATAATAGCAGCGATCTCTGACTCATCCTATACTCCTAATCCAAACAAACCACCAAATTCAAATCAATACGATATACCTCTCAACATAAAAACCTTAATTATCGAAAAGCGTCGTGCACGCTCACGCTGGCAACACACTAGACTGCCATCCGACAAAAAAAGTTACAATTACCTGTCCAATACCATAAAAACAAAAATTCGGATCCACAAATCTGAGTTATTCAAACACAAATATGAATCCTTATGTTCTAATGATGGATCCTTATGGAGAACCACCAAAAATATTTTAAAAATATAAGATCAACCTTTCCATTTAAAAAAAGCAGACGGCACCTTAGCCTTCTCGGACATTGACAAAGCCAACACTTTTGGTAAACACGTATCCGAAATATTTACTCCTCATCACGATATAACTCCTGAACCAAGTCACTTAAAGCAAATTATAAACTTCCTAACTAGCCCGCTACCAATGTCACTCCCTACCAAACACACATCTCCCAACGAAATAAAAAACTTAATACAAAAGTTAAAAATCAAAAAATCACCCGGACATGATCAAATAACAAATAAAATACTCCAACACCTTCCTAAAAAATCAATAGTTCTTCTCACACATATTTTTAATTCTATGTTGAGAATGTCCTACTTTCCGTCAATCTGGAAATTATCTGTAATCATCCTTATACACAAATCCAACAAACCTAAAAATGAACCCTTCTCATACAGGCCAATAAGCCTTCTACCAGTATTAGGGAAATTATTTGAAAAAGTGATGCTTAAACGAATTAGACCCATTCTCAAGTTCCACAAAATTATACCAAATACCCAATTTGGCTTCAGAGAAAACCACTCCACAACCCACCAAATCCACCGAATTGTCGACAAAATAGCCTCGTCGTTTGAGACCAAAAACTTCTGCCCAGGAGTATTCTTAGATGTATCACAAACGTTCAACCGTGTCTGGCACACCGGATTACTCTTTAAGCTAAAAATGTTCCTCCCGACTCCACTCTACTTGTTGACCAAATCATATCTACAAGACCGCTCATTTCTCGTCCGCCAAGGAGACTCCCTCTCATCACAATTCAAAATCTTAGCAGGAGTACCCCAAGGAAGTGATCTATCACCAGACCTCTACAACATTTATACAGCTGACATTCCCAACTGCGAAAATACACTGATAGCTACTTACGCCGACGACACGGCAATCCTCTCATCCCATCCCGATTCCACAACAGCATACCAAAACCTCCAAATTCATCTTGACAATATTTCACAATGGTCCACCAAATGGAGAATAAAAATCAATACAGACAAGTCCTTTCACATTCCTTTTACTTTGAGAAAAGCTGTTCTTCCTACAATCTATTTTCAAAACAATCCAATCCAAACCACAACTCAAACCAAATACTTAGGTCTAATTTTAGACAAGCGTCTAACTTGGAGCCCACACCTCAAAACCAAAAGAAAGACTCTCAACACCAGACTTCATCTACTACGATCTATCCTCAAGTCCAAACTCTCTATTGACAACTAATTACTATTATACAAATCAATGCTAAAACCTATCTGGGCATATGGTATACAAATTTGGGGATGTGCCAAGCCTTCCCAAATACGGACCATACAAACCTTCCAGTCTATTTCCCTTCGCCTAATAACATCCGCGCCATGGTACGTCTCAAACCTCTCACTTCACAAGGATCTTAAAATTGAAACAGTCTCCAAAACAGCCAAAAACTACTACAAAAAGTTACACACCAAAACAGCTAACCACACAAATCCATTGATTTCCAACTTGGCCAGTGAATTCATGCCTAATAACCCCTTACGTCGATTAAAAAGACACTGGTGTCGTGATCTCCTAAATCCCGAACTGCACTAATTAAAAAAAAAAAAAAAAAAATAAAATAAAATAAAACTCTCTCCCCCAAGCTAGAGGGTATCCACACTGGTGGACCTCCCTCCTCACGCCATTCATGTTATACCTACCTTTTCTTTATTATCATATTTACTTATTGTATGTATATAAATTACAGATTGTAAATATTCTATTTTATCTAATAAAAAAAAAATAAAAAAATATTGTAGCATTTTCAACACAATCCAACTATTGTTGACATGAGGTCTCTTTAAAATAACCGATGTCAACTATAGTTGACATGTGGCCTATTTCCCTACACTGCATGATGTGCCATATACGGTACAATTATTATTGACGATGAAAAATCGTAGTATAATTACAGAAAATACGCCATCTATTGAACAATATAATTCTATACATCATGATCATTTAAAAAATCAATTTTATTAAAATTTCAGTAGATGGCAATAGCTGGTTAATGTGGATAAAATAATGTGGCAGTCATCGATTATAAAAAACGTGTACAGTCATAACAACGATATTGTTTAAAAATAGAAAAATGCCTATTCTTATGATTTGTAAATTATCAAATAACAGGGAATTACGTCTTCTTTAACCCTTCATTGCATGACTTTTTTTTTACAAACAGTTTTTTTTCTATATATAAACCTAGGCTCTTAGAACCTTTAAAAAATAATTTAAAAATAAATTTTTATATTCTAAGTACGAAACTTAAGTACTTATTATGGTGTAGCATCTATGCTACATATGCGCGAGGAGAATGATTATCACAATATAGGTAAAAAAATACAATATTATTTACTTTTTGAAAATAATTGTTTTTATTTAAATGTATACCATCTTTAACTATAAAATAAAATAATCATTCTTTGAAATTAATACTGATTATATAAACAAAAATAATAAAAATAAAAATATTTCCTTTTGTGACTTAAAAACAAAATAACAAAGCCAATTGTATATTTAAAAAAAAAATACTAATTTGTATAATAGCTAACAAAACAACTATTGTTTTTATTAAAACACATAAATGTCTTGCATTTACTGCAGTTTACATAAGTAAAGCCTTTGCAGTTTGTATACTTACACCTTTGTCTAGTAGTATTCCAAACTGGCCAATGACTTACACAATCATATCTTTCTCGATTAGTTATAGTTGATGTATGCACTACTCTAGGTTTTTTTCTGTCTGTCATGTACACATTATTAGCCTTTTTACAAGGTCTACCTCTGGTTGGAGTTATGTTTATGTTTTTACTTGTTTGGCACAAAGTCACAGCTAATACCTCCCTAAATTTTGCCAAAGTTATAATTTTATCATCTTCATTTTTTTGTGTAAGAACTCTCTTTTGCAAAATCCATGCATTTACCACACATGTATCTAGTAAATGGTAAAACAACCTTATGTACCATTTTCTACTCCTCATACGGATTTTATATCTGCCAATATTGGCATCTAACAAATCTACCCCTCCCATATGCTTGTTGTAAATAGTTACAGCACTTGGACATGGCACATTTACACTTTTTTTTTGAGACTTAGAAAACCTTAAAACTTCAGATTTTGGCTGTTCACCAATAAATGTAGACAATAAAGTAACCAAACGATTATCTTTCCATACAACTGCACTTAGAATATTATTTTGTATTTTTGTGATACATTCAGCTGATGACCCTCTTTCAGATTTCATGAATTCTTTTTCATTTGGAAGCTTTACTTGTTTTAACCTGTTTCTACGTACAGTTCCAAGTGACAAAACCCCAATATTTTTTAAATATACCAAAAGACCCAAAGAAGTATAATAATTGTCAAAATATACTACATAATTTTTATAAGTAGGTATAATTCTACAAAGTCTCACTACTATATTAGCACTTGCACCTAAATCAGGTTCATTTGTAAGGCGATATTGAGGGTCATTTTCTTGGCCACTATATATTTCAATGTTATAGGCAAAACCTGAAACACCTGCTAAAATAAACAGTTTATAGCCCCATTTATGAGGTTTCATAGGCATATACTGCTTCATGTAATGTCTTCCTTTAGTAGCACATAGTTGCTCATCAACAGATAGTGACTCCTCTAAAGGTACAGTTTGAAATCTTTTTTTAAGAGTTTCTAAAACAGTTCTAATTCTAAACAATCTATCATGCCCTGGTTGTCCTCTAGGGATATAAATATCATTATTACAAAAATGTAGGAACTGTCTAATTTTTTCAAATTTATTTACTGTCATAGTGTTTTTTATTACATTATTTTCTAAATTCTCAGACCAATATTGCCTAATATCAGGAACTATACATATGGAAGTCATAATACATATTCCCAAATATCGTTTTAAATCAGTTTCTGTTATTTCAAATGGTTTATTCACATTTTTTTGTAAACTATACCTCAACGATTCTTCACATATATGTTGTAAGAGATCAGAAGAAAAAAAATAGTTAAAAAAATCTAAAGGGGATTCTAAATCAAAAAAAGGGTCTTGTGGGAGAGAAGTGTCACCTTTAAATTTAATTTCATCAGGAGAAATCTGAAATGGTCGCTTTTTCCAAACAACAGATTTAATTTCACGAAATTTGGTTCGTTTAGTAGTATTTATTTTATCAACAGTTGGAGTGTGCACGACTGACACTTCACTAGTTTTAGTACTATTTACCAAAGGCTGCCTTAAATTTAAAGATTCAGAATTGGGTACAACAATAAGTATCGGATCTGCTAATTCAATAGCATTATTTGGAATAAAAATATTTTGATCTAAATCAGGAAGGTCAATAATATCAACATTATCATCATTATGATCATACATATCAGTATCATAATTTTCACAAACCAGTTCATCTATATTGAAATCCTCTAATTCATCCTCAGATCCTTCAGGAGGTGTTAAAAAAAGTAGATCTTCAATTTCATTATCTTGCAATATATTTTTTGAAGCCATAGTACAAAATTCTTGTAGATCAATAATGAATGATACAAATATCCTATTTTATTAATTTGAAACAGGACTTTCAATTAAACAGTAAAAAAACAAATTAAATAATAATTTTTCGAAACTTACCAAGAAAACTTGTGATGGAAACGTTGAAACTTGTAATATTGATCAATAAGTAAAGAAAAAGTTATCAAATATGTAGAGAAAATAAATAAATAACGAATGATAATTACTATACCTTGTACGCATATGTAGCAGATATGCAACTTATCCAATTGACTGGGTTTTTCATTGCTAACCATTGTAATTGATTAAAAATAACTATTTTAAATGTTAAGAAGACAACAATAAATCCAATAATATTTTTTTCAACTAGTTTATTATGATATTTCAAACAAAATTAATGTGATAAAAACATGCCTATCAGCAGTTTTCTGATATTACGATGCACACTACTAAACAGCTGATTTATGGCGGTTAAGAGGCTATAAGGTAACTTCAACACGGTAATATATAAACATAAGTATGCTTATGATAATATAAATGACGAGCTATATGCCGATACTGACACTTTTTCTTGGTTATAATACGTTTTAGTTGTTGTAGCAGATATGCTACATATGCAATGAATATAATTATTTTATTACTTGATTAGCATAATCATTATTTAATCAAAAGATATTATAAATCATATTATTGTGCCATATATGGCACACTATGCAAGCATTCTAAAAAAATAAATTGTTTTCAATAGGTCATTTGTATCGCGTATCCAGTGGTTACATGCGTTTCGCAAACGTTTTTTCTTGTGCGTTCCTTTTTTAATTTTTTTTAATTTAATTTTGTTATAATTAACGTTTTGTTTATAATAAATAATAATTATATATAATTGAATCTGTGTAAATATGGACGATATTTCAAATAATATTGATGAGATTTTACACGCGTTGGATATTCCGATCGATAGCGATGATGATAATTGTGACAATTTTCTATCAGATGACGAACTATTAGACGGACTAGAAGATTTAGATGTATTTCAAGTCGATTTACATCCTAATATTGAAGAAAATATTGATTTGAATGTACAAAACGATATAGCTGTTGAAAAAGAAAGAAGTAAGTCTCCAGCGTATCGCCGAAAAACTCAAAGGGTACTTCCAGACATTTCCAACAATAAAAAAACAAATAAACGTCTTATTTCACCGGTAAAGGTATATTCAAATATAGATTGGAAAATGGAAATTTGATTATGAATGAGCAGTTTATTAAATTTTCTGGAAATACGGACTTACCACCCGAAATAAAAAAATTATACACTCCATTAGAATTTTTCAAATATTTTTTTGACGATATTTTATTAGAAAAAATTCTTTATGAAACTATTCAATTTAGTATTGAAAAAAATGTAAATAAGCCTTTAAAAATATCTTTGAATGACTTAAAAAAATTCATAGGTATTTTAGTGATGATGTCAATTATTAATTTACCTAATTCAAGAAGCTTTTGGAATGAAACCATAGGAAATAATATAATTCAAAATACCATGAGTGTAAACAAGTTTGAAGAAATTCGAAAAAATTTGCATTTTAATGACAACAATAAAATGTTACCTGCTGCAAATCCTGAACATGACCGTCTTCACAAAATTCGACCACTCATCACTTATTTACAAGAAAAGTGTAAAAGTATTCCATTAGAAGAAAACTTGTCAATTGACGAACAAATTTGTCCAACCAAATCACGAAGCTTTTTGAAAATGTACATGCCTCTAAAACCTCATAAATGGGGTTATAAATTATTTGTTTTATGTGGCGTGTCAGGGTTTTCTTATAATTTTGAAGTCTATACTGGTTTAGAAAATAGCTCGGAAAAAAGATTGCCATCCGAACCTAATCTTGGAGCGTGCGCAAATGTTGTTATGAGACTTTCAAGATGTATACCTGAAAATATCAATCATAAATTATATTTTGACAATTACTACACAACGCTAGCGGTTATGGTTGAACTCGCTAAAAAAAATATACATTGCTTAGGAACATTACGTAAAAATAGAATACCAGGGCTTCTTCTTCCAAATGAAAATGAAATGAAAAAAAAACCAAGAGGATTTTCTGCTGAATGTTTAGCTGGAGTAGATGGAATACCTATTACTGCTATCCAGTGGAAAGACAATAAAACGGTATCTCTTTTATCTACATTTGTTGGAAAAGAACCAATATCAGAAGTACAAAGATTTGACAAAAAATTAAAGAAAAGAATTCCAGTGGAGTGTCCAAATGTAGTTCAGGTCTATAACAAACACATGGGGGGTGTTGACCTTCTAGATTCCATAATTGGTAGATACAGAATTGCTATGAGAAGTAAAAAGTGGTATTTCAAACCACTTCTTAGATATGTCTCTTGTAAATGCATGGTTGTTGTATAGAAGAGCATATGAAAATGAAGCCACAATTTCACTAGCCAAATTTAGACAAGAAGTTGCTGTTGCCCTTTGTCAATCTGGAATGATAAGTACTCAGACACGAGGAAGAAAAAAAAAAGAAGAGACAAAAAATTATAAAAAGCGAGGTAATTAAAAATGTTTACATTATTATAATGCATACAATTAATAGTTTAAATTATTTGTTTATTAATTTATAGGTATCCAAACACACGCACCCTCACAGGATGTAAGGTATGACCACATTAACCATTTTCCTAAAGTTGGGGACAACAGAGTAAGGTGCAAAAATGAAAAATGCAATAAAAAATCATTAGTCAAGTGTATTAAGTGTGAAGTGTATTTATGTTTAAATCAAAAAAATAATTGTTTTCTGTCTTATCATCAACAATATTGATTTCTGTATTTTTTTTTTAAATTTAATTATAATTAATGTTATATAAAAATATATAATTATACCGTTTTTGCTACAAAGAAGTAGCAATATAAATTTACTAATAAATATAACTTTATTCGTATGTTGTGCCATATATGGAACAATTGCGAATTCTTATCCTAAAATGCAAATATTTGTTGATTATTTTTTATTTTTTTTTTTTTTAAGGTATTTATAAGGTATAAGTAAGTAAAAACAAAATTTTTGAAAAAAAAAAAAAAATTATACAGTGTAGGATTTCTGATACGTGGTTTTTTTCAACAACCATATAAATTGTATGGTTTTATTCAACACATTTTTCTTTATCATTGGGTATCATTGGTTTTTGAATAGCTCCACTAGATCGCGTTTTATTGAATTCACAAAATTATTAAATGCAAGCTGTTACCCTGGGTTTCTCGATCGTACAAACATTTGCTTCCACGTCTGATAACGTTGGTAATCAATTCCGAATCTTTGATTAATATATTATAATATTATAACACATTATTATGTTAGGTACATGAATACATATTCAAATAAAATAGAATTTTTTCAAAAGATCGTACTACAGTTTCTTTTTTTGCGATGAATACTAATGAAATCTCAGATCTGCTTGACTTGTCTAGTTCAGATTGGTTTGACGATGATTATAGTTCTGATGAGTATGTCCAACAAGATTCAGATAACAATAATAGTTATGAAATTATTGAAGATTCGGATACAGACGTTGAAATTACAGATAATGATTGGAATTCAGATATAAATACTATCCCTGAGTTATTTGATTTTACTGGTAATTCTGGATTGCAATGCACTTTATCAAGTAATAATCCTCATGATTATTTTTCTTTATTTTTTGATGATAGTATTATGAATAATATAGTGACTTGGGTAAATTTGAAAGCAAACATTTTAAGATCTCAAGGTGTAAAGAAACATTCAAATTTAAGTAGTTGAAAAAATATTGACATATATGAATTGAAAAAGTTTATTGGTCTCAGTTTACTTATGGGTATTCATAAACTCCTTGCTATACGTTTATATTGGTCACAATCAGAAATTGATTATCATCCAATTTATGGCCAAACTCTTAGTCGAAATCGTTATGAAACTATTTTGAGATGCTTATGCTTTTATGACCCATTTACAACAGATAAGTCTGATCGTTTACACAAAATTAATAATGTCCTTGGTCCTATAATTTCTAATATTCAAACTAAATACTATCCTAAAGAATGTTTGTCATTAGATGAATCTATGCTTCTGTGGAGAGGAAGGTTAAGCTTTAGACAGTATATCCCTAGTAAAGCACACAAATATGGAATTAAATTTTTTGAACTTTGTACTGATGATGGGTTCATTTTAGATATGATTATTTATAAAGGTAAAGGTACAGTAACAGATTCAAGAGGAGTGACGTTTGGTATTGTGGATAAACTAATGAGTAACTATTTAGAGAAAGGGCATACACTGTATATGGATAATTATTATAATAGTGTACAACTAGCTGAGTATTTATATAAAAATAAAACTCATTTAGTTGGAACTTTAAGAAAAAATAGAAAAGAAAATCCAAGTATGATAACTGCTGAAAAATTAAAAAAAGGTGAAGCAGTTCATGCACAAAAAAATAATGTACATGTAACAAAATGGGTTGATAAAAGAGAAGTGTGTATGATATCAACAAAACACAATTTAGGTTTTGAAAATGTAATTGATAAATTTGGTAGACAAAAATTCAAACCTACTGTGATTGTTGACTATAATAATCACATGTCAGGAATAGATAGAGCTGACCAAATGATGAGCTACTATCCAATGCCCAGGAAATGTATGCGTTGGTATATCAAAGCATTTTTTCATTTAGTGGATATCTGTTTATGGAACTTCAACTACTTATATAATTCACAAGTATCAAAAATTTCCCATCTAGAATTTAGAAGACAAATTATAAGTTCTTTACTTGAGGTTCCATTGAATAAAAGACCATCATGCAGCCCTAAATCTTTAACAATAAATGAAACTCAAAGTAAACCATTACACAATATACAAAAAGTTCAAAAACGAAAAAGATGTAGGGTATGCCATGCTAATAAAAAAAGAAACACAACTTTATTTATGTGTGACACTTGTAAAGATGAAAAAGGAAATACTATAGGTTTATGTGCAGATCCTTGTTTCAAAATGTATCATACAAAATAGTTTGATAAATAATTTATTTTTTGCAGTTTTTTTATTATAAATATAAAAAAAGGTTTTGTTTTTTTAAATGCTTTAATTTAGTTTTATATATAAACTATATAATTTCAAACTATAATTACACTGATAAGCTAAAGAGAAGACAAGTGATACTACAAGTTACATACATTGAAAATTTCAAAATTGTTATTTGATTTTTTGTTAAGTTTTTATTATGTTTTACAAAGGTGTTGATTTTTTTTATTTTTAATGGTTTATTTTATATCTATGAGGATTGTATCAGTTTTAATTTTATAATTTATTTATTATAACTATTATTTTATTTATTTGTTGGTATTTTTATAATATTTTCTATGTCAATCATAGTTGACAAGTGGGTTTTTATAATGAGTATCCTTAAAAAAAACCGGTGTCAACATA